CAAGGCTATATTTTCCGCATTTTACAACATTTTGCAACGAAACTTTGGAATATTACTAATTTTGTGATGCTCTTTCAAGCTGTGATGAAATTTTTGTCTAGACTTGTTGAGTTCAAAATTTTGGTTAATTGGGGAATGGTCCATTATTTAGGCAGAGTTTCAAAACAGCCGGGCTTCCTCGATCTTGTCTACTTCATAGTCTGGTTATTTTCGAAAACGACGTACTATTTTGTAAAACTGATTTAGTTATTTGCCATTAGGAATGTTTGGTATGGCCGGTAATGGTATGAGAATTTTCCGGTATCGGTATACCGGAAAAATTATACCGATGTTATCGGTATACCGGTTTTTCGCCTTTTAAAAATTATATAGGAAAATTCCTTGGTGAAAATTTGAAGGGAATTTTGAATAATTTGAAAAGTGAAAACACGGTTTATGACAATTTCGAAGCTGTTTCAAAGGAATTCCAGGTGTAAATACCCACTTCTACTTTGCATTTGAATAAAACAAAAAATGATGATTTCGCCATATACATGGTGTGTAAATTTGATATGGTATACCGTAAATATATCGGAAATTTCGGTATATTGGTATGTATGACAAACTCGTACCGATAGACCGATATTGGTTTCAATACCGATATTATCGGTATACCTAACATTCCTATTTGCTATCTTAAATCTTGAAATTAGAATGTGTAATTAGCCCATGGTTTTTGCATGCAATCTTCGAGTGCTCTCTAGTTAGAATATTTGATCGTTTTCATTCTATAGAGCGTTTGCACATGACGTCACAGCCACCATGTTGCATGGTGTTCCAATTCAAAAGAATTTTAATTAGACTTTCTTGTCTGGAACACCAACATGGCCGGCATGGGTTTTGTTGATTTACTCCCTGGGGAATGAGTGCAGACTGCAAACGTTCTATATTCGCTTTTTTCTCCGCAGGTCGACTACGCAAGTCGTGAAAGTCAAATTTTCTTCTACGATTATCTTGTCAACACCGGGCAAAGTGAGGGGCGGCGCTATGAACCGTCACCTCCCCCTCCTATGCGACCCAGGGGGAAAATGTACGACGAACCTATGCGGCCACGTCATGGCATGCGAGGACCTGGACCCAAGTACCATCCTTACGACCACGGCTACGATCGTGGTCCGCCGTTTGTTGATCGGGGCCCACGACCGTACGACGAATATTTCCGAGGTGGCAGCGGCGGTTATGATAGCGACGATTTTGGTCAGGAGCTGCGAGAGTACTCGCGAGAACGCGCGCGGGAACGAGAACCCGATCGTCGTGTGGAGCCCCAACCACCCCGTCGGCGACATCATCGCGGACACCCCCCGGATATGGACAGTGATGGCGAGAGGTACTACTCCCGTCCGGAGCATTCCGATGTCTGGCCTGGTGATGCCGGCAGAGAACGAGGATCGCCCGATGTTGACCCGAGGGAGGATGGTCATGCTAGAAGAGGAGAGAAAAGAAAGGATGGGGATAAACGTGTACAAGAGAGGAGAGTTGAAGATAAACGGCCAGCTGTGCCAGCTGTGAGAATGAGGTAAGACAGAAATATTTATATTATTTTCAGGTGAGAATAAGGTGTATAAAAATAAATGGTATTTCCATATCCAGTAACATCTACAATGAAAAGTCGATAAAGATACGTTATTGCTAATAAAGATATACAGTATTACATTTCTTCTTAGTATAGTTAATAACAAAATCTCAAGTCATTCCGCATGCTGGACTGAGCCTACTGATTTCAGACCGGGATGAATGTAAAAACACAAATACATTTCAGATCGGTCTCGGCTGTAACCCTGACATTGGAACAACACAATACACATGGTAACAAAAGCCATCTAAAAACGAAAATTTGCCTGGCAAGGGGAGTAAATTGAAATTTTTTTGATTTTCGTACCGGTCTCATGTAAATATGTTGACAATTTCAATTTTCATTCCGGTTTCACTTCGTCCCGGTTTCATGTAAACGGCGCCTTAATTAATGTAATGTCAGAATAAGATCAAGTATTAAAAATAATTTCTATATTTAGGTATGACAGTGAGGAAGATATTGAAAATGCCGAGCCACCACCCCCAGCTGAGAAGAAAGAACGTAGCCGCGACAAGTCATTACGCAAGAAGCCGATTGATGCCCGAGACGAGGACGACAACCCCGACTTTTATCCGACAGGTTACGACAAGACTTACGATGATGGAAAAGTAAAAAGTGTTGTAAGCAAACGGAAAGTAAAAACGAAAGAGGGAACTTCTGCCGAGGAGGAAATTGTACCACCGGAAGAGTTGCCTTTGCCACCGGATGAAGATACCCTGTCTCGCAAAGACGAACGCGGTTCCGATAAGGCCAGCAAAAAACTGAAAAAAGAAGCCAAAAAGAAACGAAAACACAAAAAATCGCCGGAGAATTTGCCCCCCGATGAAGAACCGCTAAATAGTAATCCAGGGCCTGTGGACTTCGAAGAAAAGTACGAGCCCCACGAATCGCGCGCGGAAAAATCGCGTGTCAGTCCCGAACCCGAGAGAAAAGTGAGAAAGTCGGATGTGGTTATGAAATCCGTTGTGGTAGAACGACCAAGATCACCGACTCCTGAAGAACATTTAACACGTAAACGTGCTCACTCTCCCGAGCGTGACGTCGAATATCCACGCGAGGACGACTCGCACCGCGTGGACCACACGCGTGGTGGGAAAAACTCGCGACACGTGGAATCGGGTCGTCATGATAATAGTCATCGGTATGACGAAGTGAAGCCGAAAAAACAACGGCCGTCTACGGAGGCGCCGCCGCCCCCACCCCCACCTCCCCCGTATAACCAAAACGGATCTAGTGATTCGACCTTCCAAACTTCGGGAGCTCCTCGGAATGCGTTCGTGCCTACGTCGTCGCCGAACATTGATGTTTCGGTGCCGTCTCGGAATACGTTTCAACAACATCCAACGGAAGTTAATCCAAGTGTAACTTCCGGTGGAAATGGAAAACATGTCAAACCCACTTCCGGTCATCCATCGCCAACCAATTCCCCCGCGACCACTCAGACCGGAAGTAGCATGGTACCTAATAGTGACGACACATTGATGGAGCTGTTGCGTCGACATCCGGTGATGTGGCAAGGACTTTTGGGATTGAAAAACGATTCGGCAGCTATTCAAATGCATTATGTGTCGGGGAACTCGAAATTGGCTGAGTATTCGTTGCCCAAAGCAAGTGGAGCCACTGGGCCAAACGGGATCACGCTTCCCCCGATCTTGAAGATTGCTCAACGTATGAGAATGGAGTTATCACAGTTAGACGGCGTCACGAAACGAATGCAGGTAAGTTTGTAATGTTTTGAAATATCATTTAGAGTGATTCGTGTAGAAATATTGTCTGTATGTACGATAGTCCGTCTCTGTATTCATTTTATATTTTATGCTTTACCAGGCTAGTAAACAATTTTTCAACAGAGACTGTTATTTAATGCAAAGTGTAAAAGTTTAGGGATTGAAAATATTCCAAATGGAAACGAAATTATAGCCCTTTGAAATGTACAGAAGCACCAAACTAAGGCTAGTGAAGCTTGTTTGCTAATTCTAGCATAAACTTCGGTATGTTTAAGACTTAATTTTTCAAAGACTAATTAGGAGAATCTTTCTAATACCAAAATAAGTTCAATGATCGAGAATACATAGTATTATATTTTTACTTTTTCAAATTGTTAGTCTTGAAGTATTTTATAAGACGATAATGATTATCTTGGTTAAAATTAATTTCGGAAGAAAAAAGAATGATAACTTTTTTCGAATCTAAACTCTACGTTTCTGTTCAAAAAAGTTCGAAAGATGCAAAATTTGGGCAAGGTATAATTATATCTGCGGATCCCCGTTTGTTATGAGCAGAACTGATACGCAGAACGGACTTTACAGCATCTATAAACCTAGCATATAAACTTCGGTATTTTTAAGACTTAATTTTTCAAAGAGAAAGAGGAAGATTAGGGCATTTTTTCTAATACGAAAATAATCTCTATTGTCGTTTAATCCAATCGCCCTTCTCGTTTCTAGTTCGACAACGAGCATTGTCTATTGTTGGCATTGCCCTGTGGTAGAGACCCACTGGACGTTCATGCCCAGACGAGAGCTTTGAAAAATGGTTTTATTGCCTATCTTCAACAGAAGCAGGCAGCCGGGATTATTAATATCGCTCAACCTGGAAGTCAACAGGTATGGTTCAGAATTGAAACACTGCCGAAAATATTTCGTGCACTTCAATTAAATTAGATATAAGACTTGCATAAAAATCTCACATCTTGTAGCAAGTCTGCCAACAAGCCGTTCAACAAGTTTGAAACAAGCTGTGAACAACTTGTAACAACCTTGTTGATATTATCAGACTTGTTGCAAAGGTTGTTCCAACAAGTCCGATACAGCCATGATATAACAATATTGTTACAACCTTGTGTCGTCTACCTTGTAACATTCTTGTTATATCATGACTGTATCAAACTTGTTAGACCAACCTTGTAACGAGTCTGATAATGCCATCAAGTCTGTTACAAGTTGTCAACAGCTTGTTCCAAACTTGTTACAACAACTGGGAACAAGCAGTACGAACACAACTTGTCGACAGCTTGTGAACAGATTTGTAACAACTTGTTTGCAGACCCGTAACAACTTGTGCGTTTTTACGTGTGTAGTTTCCGCTTGCCTGCTGTGCCCAATTACTAATTTAGTATTCTTTTGTTTCCAGGCGAGTTTTGTTCTACACGTGTTTCCCCCGTGCGATTTCACTCATTCCCATCTCTCAAGAGTCGCTCCGAATCTTCTCGACAGCGCTACGGACTCCGGACATCTGATGGTCGTGGTTGCAACGGTCTGAAATCCGACCCGAAGATATCGTCTCATGTACACGCGTAAAAATACACAACACTTGTTTTATAACAAGTTGCAACTGGCAATTTTGTACCAATTTGACGAAACAACGACACACATGTTGATTAACAACCTAGCTACAAATATGTTGCGACGTTTTGTTGGCAAAGCCGTGAGATCAGTGGCGGCGGAACAGATTTCATTTTGGGGGGCCTAAATTTTTTTCCCGTGACCTCCCCCCCCCCCCCCTCCCCAAAAAAA